ACTGAGGGTTGCGATCCGTTGCCAGACACGAAAAAAGACAAAAAGGAAAAAAAATAATAATTGAAAGTGTTCCATAATTTTTTTTATGAGGTAAATCAGAATTCATGGGGAAGTTATTGCTATCGAGTGGGAATGAAGACTGAGGTTATTAATGTCTGGGTTAAAGAAGTTGAGAATTTATTACTATAGGACACCACCCTTCAGGCTCACACTCACTTTGTCCCCAAAAAGATGCCAAGAACCTCAAAGAAAAAAAGAGTATGAATGAATCATAGACCATCAGTTGGAAGAAACAAGATTTTCTCCCCAGTGTCTCCATTGTACAGTTAAGACATTGGAGGCCAGATNAAAAAAGAGTATGAATGAATCATAGACCATCAGTTAGAAGAAACAAGATTTTCTCCCCAGTGTCTCCATTGTACAGTTAAGACATTGGAGGCCAGATATTGGCACATCTCTTGTGGTGAACATCTCCTAGACAAGGTTTAGGAACAAGCCACAGGAGACATCAGTTGCTTAACAAGGCTTCTCTAACCATAATTTTTGGTCTTCATGGGTCTTGTCATTTCTAGTCCAGGTGACATCACTTTTTCCCACAAAAATTCAAATTTAAATTCCCCATACCTACCAAAATCATTACAACCATTGGCTCCCCCTCCACCTGCCCTCAGCCCCTCCCCTAAGCCATTATAGTGGAGCGATAGGACAGAAGAAAGCAGATAAGGCAGTGTGGTGGTGCAAGGGCTGATCCACACCTTTTTATTAAAGCCCATTACTGATAAGTGGTTGTAGGACGAACTTTCTCTGAAGAGGAAGCTATAAACCACGCTTCCTCATATAGCACCTTTGAACAGATGAGCACACTTTCAAAGAAAATTAGAATGCTAAAATGATGGCTGCCTTACTCTTTAAGTTCACTGTAGATGGGAAGGACCTCAGGGTGGCATACAAAAGCAAATGCTAGGATAGGGATTGCATAGGCCGTCTGAAAAACAAAGACAACACCACATGTTTAGCATTCCAACATAGAGGGCAATCCCGGGCCGTCTCACTTTATGAAATAAAAACTCAGAAGCCACTTTACGAGGCTCATTAGAGGCCTAGGCTTCTTACTTACCCGGGAGTTGAATACAAAGTATTTGGGTTGGCACTTGTCCTCACTGTGGGCTTCATATTCTACTCCACTGCCATGAAGAGAGCCCTTGGCCTGGTTGTCATCCAGCCCTGCAGGACTGCGGTGGGTGTAATCCATCATGAAGTTCACACCAGTACTCTCAGAGTTGTTGGGTAATATTACCACGTGCACCGGAAGTGTGATATTGAACGTCATGTTTCCAACATTATGATCCAGAACAGGCAAAGGGCAGGGTATTTGGAATTTCTTGTAAATCACCTAGACCCCATTATTTAAAAAAAAAAAAAGGCAGCTTTTTGAGGAAAAATAACGAAATGAAAACCCATATGTGTGGCATATGGGGTGGGGGTGAGGGAACTCAGCTAAGGATTCCTTTTAGATCAATGGACAATGGAGACTCCCTCTAGCCTCTGTTCTAAGGAAAGAGTTGGAACTGTGGCTGGAAGCCTTGCCCCTTGGAGTTAACAGAACAGTATCTTGCATGAATCCATCCCAAGCCTCTTTCATGCCCATCCATGAGAAGGATGATCATTTCCTTGATACATTTCATATCTTTTATTTTTTCAAACTCATGATGACATCGGTCATCAAAATTTCCCTCTTCTTCCTTTGCCTCATTGGGGAAATGCCTTATCAATTTTGGCATACATGTTACTGCAAGTTATTCCCTTTTAGCAGGGGGAGGACAAAGGGGGAAGGAAGATTTCTTCTTTAGTTCCACTGCGGTTGCTCTCTCTTAATGGATAGAATTTGTTAGAGAAAATGACTGATTCATGCAGATATGGCTGCAGCTCTCTTCTGGGACTCTTCTCTTCTTCCCCCACCTTTCTTTTTCTTTTTTTTTTT